TCTTTAAAAAAAAAAAAAAAAAGTTTGTCATAACGTTTTATGGCACACTTAAGAACAGGTACCACCCAAAGCTGTATCATGAAGGAGACAGAATATCTGAAGAAAAGGGGCATTTCAAATCCAGAAAGTACACTGGACCTTTTCATTTCTGAGTCAACAACATTTCTTTTTTTTTTTGAGACAGAGTCTTGCTCTGTTACCCAGGTGTGCAGTGGCACGATCTAAGCTCATTGCAACCTCTGCCTCTGGGTTCAAGTGATTCTCTTGCCTCAGCCTCCCGAGTAGCTGAGATTACAGGCATGCATCGTCATGCCTGGCTGATTTTTGTATTTTTAGTAGAGATGGGGTTTTACCATGTTAGTCAGGCTGGTCTTGAACTTCTGACCTCAAGCAATCCACCCACTTCAGCCTCCTAGAGTGTTGGGATTACAGGCGTGAGCCACCATGCCTGGCCAAGTCAACAGGGTTTCAATTTTAGTCACGCAATGTAGGGGCTCCCAAGAGGGACACAAGGGAAAATGCAGAGATACCAAGGGCAGATCCCAACTTCTGGAGGGACATTATCCTTACCCAGGGAGACCAGGTTCCTGTAGTTCTCCAGCATCACATCCCTGTATAAAGTCCTCTGAGCAGGGTCCAGGCATCTCCACTCCTCCTGAGAGAATTCTATTGCCACATCCCTGAATGTCAAGGGTCCCTAAAATAAAAGATGCATTTGACCAACAGGGTATACAGAGAGTACTTATGTTCACATAAAATGAGAAGAGAATTGGCCGGGCGTGGTGGCTCACGCCTGTAATCCCAGCACTTTGGGAGGCCGAGGCGGGTGGATCACAAGGTCAGGAGTTCGAGACCAGCCTGGCCAAGATGCTGAAACCCCGCCTCTACTAAAAATACAAAAATTAGCTGGGCGCGGTGGCACGCGCCTGTAATCCCAGCTACTCAGGAGGCTGAGGCAAGAGAATCGCTTGAACCTGGGACGCGGAGGTCGCAGTGAGCTAAGATCGTGCCATTGCACTCCAGCCTGGATGACAGAGTGAGACTCTGTCTTGGGGGGAAAAAAAAAAAAAAAGAGAAGAGAATTTTAAAGATTGACTCAACTGACATGCTGAAGTGAACATTCTCATAAATTCACATTAAGGTATTTTTGAGCTAGTTATGTGTCTGTAATTGCATTTTTTTATACTTTTCTATAAAAAGTTATGATATTCTCTAAACCAGTGTACATTTTTCATTCAATATCTACCTGAGCTAGAATACAAGTCTCTCTGAAGACACCAACTACTTGAATTGTAGCTCAGGTAGATACTGGGTATCACTTGGTGTGTCAAACATTAATACCTAACACTTCTATAGAGATAACTGTGGGTTAATTTTGTGTCTGGGCATTAGAATCAAACCTAAAGAATCAAACAGTTAAGTAACACATAAGCATCAAAAGTAAACTGACAAATTACCTAACAAGTTCAAGGACAAAAACCTGAATCTGCATCAACAGTCATTATATATGCATACACACATATCCTAATGCATTACTATTCTTTTTTTTTTTCTTAACATCTCTTTGAAATTGTTTTAATACTATTCTTTTTTTTTTATTTTGAGACAAAGTCTCAGTCTGTTGCCAAGGCTGGAATGCAGTGGTGCGATCTCGGGACACTGCAACCTCCACCTCCCGGGTTCAAGCAATTATCCTGCCTCAGCCACCTGAGTTGCTGGGATTACAGGCGCACACCACCATGGCCAGCTAATTTTTATATTTTTGGTAGAGACGAGGTTTCACCACATTGGTCAGGTTGGTCTTGAACTCCTGACCTCGTGATCCGCCCACCTCAGCCTTCCAAAGTGCTGGATTTACAGATGTGAGCCACTGTGCCCAGCCAATACATTACTACTCTTACTGCCACCGACTCATTAACATGTACAACACTTTTAAGGTCATGGAAAATATTTCAGATATAATTTCAGCTGTTCAAAAACGTAAAATTCCTAATGCCTTAGATAAAACTATAGGCTTGCTCATCCATGTACTCATACAAACACATCACACATACACACTTATATATACTTAGAAGCTTATAAAGTAATACACATATATGCTTCTACACATCTACTGAATAAGGAGTTGTCTCTCAATGTCCTATTTTTTAGATGATATCTGTCATCCTTTTTAAAAACGATTCTCAGAGACTGAGTCTTGCTATGTTGTCCAGCTTGGAGTGCAGTGGGTAATCACAGCCACCACGCCCAGCCAGTTTCCTGTTCTCTTGCTTCTTTTTCAGCTATGCATTCCCATATCTGTTCCAATGACTCCTTATTAACCCATTCATTCCTCAAGAACCACCTCTAAGAGATTCTCAGTGTCATCCTCCTCCACATCCAGATTAAACCTGTGGTAATGCACTATGTTTGTTTCTGCCAGCATCACCATAAACACAAGGAATGCACTGGTCTATGACGTCATGACTGCTCTGAGGTAGCTGGGCAACCAGAATTTTTCAGCTCCAATGTAATTTTATGGAACCACCATCATAGGCATGGTCTGTTGCTGACTGAAATGTCCTTAAGTGGTGCATGACTGTATTATGCCTTTTTTTTTTTTTGAGACGGAGTCTTGCCCTGTTGCCCAGGCTGGAGTGCAATGGTGTGATCTCGGCTCACTGCAACCTCTGCCTCCCGGGTTCAAATGATTCTCTTGCCTCAGCCTCCTGAGTAGCTGGGGTTACAGGTGCCCACCACCACGCTCAACTAATTTTTGTATTTTTAGTATCGATTGTGTTTCACCATGTTGGCTAGGCTGGTCTTGAACTCCTGACCTCGTGATCCACCCACCTCAGCCTCCCAAAGTGCTGGGATTACAGGCATGAGCCACCTAGCCCTGCCTATATTATGCAAAAAAAAAAAAAAAGGGATTTGAAGACCATCTGATTTGGGTAGCCTCGGGGGTTTCTTGGAAGCAAATCCTATGTGATATGGAGGGATGGCTGTAGAGGGTGACACACTGGACAAAGAGATGATTCAAGTCCTGTGCAAAACAATGGGACAGTGAGAGATTGTATCATCCTACTCAGAAGGGTAAGAAATTTGAAACTTGTGAATTCTTCATTTCTGGAACTTTCCTTGTAATATTCTTGGACTGTGGTTAACCAAGAGTAACTGGAACCTAAAAAGTACACTGGCAGACAAGGAGTAATTACCCTAGAATCAACTTCAAATATTAAGGCTGGGCCCAACCTGAGTATGTGAATGGGAATCTCAGGTAAGAGGATGGGGGCACCAGACGCGTATCTGCATTCCAATGTGAAGATAGGGATGAGCTCCACTCAGGGCAAGCCCAGCACACCCCCACCTCTGGCTCTGCTCTCCCCTTGGGGCCTTGTCACCAGGAGCTAGGCCGTGGACAGCAAAAGAGCAGAAAGAATCATCTAGAGCAGCCAACATGGACTACAGTGGGAGTGAGGGTGTAGTGGAGTGTTAAATGTGGGTTGGAGAGGAACACAGAATCCTCCATGAAGCAGGTGACATCAGAACAAAGACCTGAGGAAGAAAAGGTATTTGCGCCTGCAGCTGATGGGCCAGAGAGGTCTAGGCAGAGGGACAGCCCATGTGGAAACCCTGAAGCAGGAGCAACCTTGGCCCCAGACAAGAGTCCTGTGTGGCTGCAGCAGAGGGAACCAGGAAGTGGTCAGAACGGTCCTGGGGTAGCAGATCACACGGGGATGAGGTTGCCAACATTTCCCTCCCATACCTCAAAGGAATTTCAGAAACAACAATTTTCCTCACCTGTTTTAAGCAAATATGTAATTATTTATGTTATAAATTAATGTACTTTCAGGCTGAACGCAGTGGCTCATACCTGTAATCCCAGCACTTTGGGAGGCCCAGGTGGGTGGATCACAAGGTCAAGAGATCAAGACTATCCTGGCTAACATGGTGAAACCCTGTCTCTAGTAAAAATACAAAAAAGTAGCTGGGCATGGTAACATGCAACTGCAGTCCCAGCTACTCAGGAGGCTGAGGCAGGAGAATCGCTTGAACCTGGGAAGCAAAGGTTGCAGTGAGCCAGGATAGCACCACTGCATTCCAGCCTGGTGTTAAAGTGAGACTCTGTCTCAAAAAAGAAAAAAAAAACTTAATGTATTTACAATGTAACATCTTACATATTTTGATTATAAGACAAGTAGTTCAGCTAAGCCTCAGGAAGTACAGGGTCACCCTCATCTAAGATGTGCAGGACTACAGGGTCATGCATTTGGGGGAGTTCAGAAAGTGGCACATATGAAGGGGAGATGCCTGTTAGATGTCCCAGCAGAGAAGTGAGAGGACAACTGAACACAGGTTTCTAGACCTCAGGGCAGAAGTCTGCAGGGGACATGGAGACATGTAGGCAGGGTTCAAAGCTATGGGATAAGATGATAAAGAAGGGTCGTGTGTGTGGACCGAGATGAGAAGGGTTTTGAGATCTAAGCCTATGCAATATAGGAAAACTCAGTCTGTACCAAAAAATCAAAAAATTACTCGGGTGTGGTGGTGTGCACCTAAAGTTCCAGCTACTTGGGAAGCTGAGGCAGGAGGACCTCCTGAGCCTAGGAGTTCAAGGCTGCAGGGAGCTATGATTGCATCACTGCACTCCAGTCTCGGTAACAGAGTGAGACCCTGTCTCAAAACAAAAACAAAAAAGACCTAAATCATGGGACACTCCCACATTCAGAGAAGACAGCTTCAGGAGACACCAGCAGAGGAAACTGGTAAGACAAAAACCTGAAACAAAGTAATTACAAAAAAACTAGCTGGGCATGGTGGCGAGTGCCTGTAATCTCAGCTACTCAGGAGGCTACTCAAAGTAATCCCTTGAGGCAGGAGAATTGCCTGAACCCAGGAGGCCGAGGTTGCGGTGAGTCAAGATTGCACCATTGCACTCCAGGCTGGGTAACAAGAGCGACACTCTGTCTCAAAAAAAAAAAAAAAAAAAAAATTAGAGATATCTTCAAAGCTAAGAAAAAAGAACAGGGAATGACCAGCTGCACAACATATTGCTAATAGGAAAAGATGAGGATACAAAATTCAAAATTGGATTTTGAAACAGAGGTCACTGGTGACTCCAGAAAAAAAGGATCAAAGGAATGGTGGAGGTGAAAGCTTAATTGGAAGGGGTAAATCAAGAACGGGAGGCAAGACTGAAGACAGAATATAAACAAGATTTTAGTACACTGTGTTCTCAAATGGAGCATAAAAGAGGGGTACTTATTACAGGGAGAAATGTAATTAATGGAATATTTTTGTTTGTTTGTTTTAATCACGGAGGAGTGACAAGAAAATAAAGGCTTCATTCTGTATCTGGTGTTTTTTTTTTTTTTT